TAAAAAACATTTAAAAATCATAACTTTTACATGGAAAAAAGTGTTTGTATGGGAAAATGCAGCATGAGACCAAACAAATAAACTTGGTCACATTGAGTTCTAAATCAAATGCTTTCAGAAAAATCTCATTTTCTTAACCAAGTATGTTACATATACTCTAACCATGCATGTGTTTGAAGCAAGCTTTTTTCTACTGTGTCTTTGGTCATACCATAGCTGAAGTTTTCTGAAGCATTATCCAAGAAGAAGGAAATAACAGCATAATTTCAACAACCCTGAACGTTAGAAATAAAAAATCAAAAATTTCACTTGAAGGTCCATATATAAGCCAAATTAAAAAATCTCATACAGAGACTACGAAGTATAACGAAGCGTCAAACCACAATACCACCAAAATGACTTGGATTAGGATAAATGGGTTTTTCTATTTGATGCTATTCATCACAAACCGAAACACTAGCACTAGTCCAAAATAAATTCATGAATAAGCACATATTCACCGGCCGTAAGTAAAAAATCTGATAAACCAAAATCAACTGATCTTCATGGAGCATTCTCATCTCTCTGTTGTAAAAAGGAAATTCTGTAAGGGAGAAAGCATGATTCGTCTAAAGTTTGGAAACAGAGTTTGAAGAATATTGTCTAACCATTAGAAACCTTGAAAGCCAAGACTATAGTTCTCCGCGAAACCTTTTATTTCAAACGAAATCAATCTTCTCTTTCGCCACGTTACAGAATCCTATACAACAATAAAAAGATGATGAAATATCCTCCCAAATCCAAAGAACAAATTGTAATGGATAGAACAGTAATGCATATATCTGCATCGCTGAAGATGATCACGCACCGAAATAGCATAAATTTGCCACAACCGAGCTTCATGCTATACCTCTGCGCTTTAAGATCCCTGTGCACAACTCCTATGGGAAGATCGACAAAAAGGCAACTACAATTAGAATTCTGCACAAAAATGGTTTTAGCATCTTCCTCAGTGTTCTTCCACCTTCTACAACATAGAATCACACGGACTTCACATCAGCATGTATATGATTCAAAGGTTAACTAGACATCAGCTCTATATTATGAGCAAATAAATAACATTTGTCCCTCAAGCGAGGGACGCGCACTGTGACCAGTATCCCTGTATTACCTTGATAACAATTTCGGGTCTAGTAGTCTCCACCTTCACACAACTCTGCCAATAACAATATTCAACAATACTTCAGAACATAACATTTAACGTTTTTCTGCATGTATACGAAAATAAGCATAGAAATTCAATCCAATAGAATTCGTTCTTCTCGAGTATATCTATGTGCAAACTTTGGCCTTCTTAATGGAAGTTCCACCCCCCCCTTTTTTCAAAAAATCAGCTTTCAGCACTGGCGTCGGAAATGAACATATAAAATAACATAAGATATCTTCTCCCATGGAAAACACACTATGCTAATATCATTAAAAAAAACCTGGAGGAAAAAGAAATACAATAAAAGATCACTAATCAAAAAGACTACATGAAGATACATACTCCATGACTATGTTAGACGTTCATGCATCCTCAAAAGCATCCATGAAATTTGATCATATTTTATGCCCAGATAAAGCTTTCAATTTTTACCTCCCTACGAACATCTTCATGGAAATTGCTTAGTTGTCATCTGCCCAACCCAATGGACAGTCATCTTGTCACTGAGCCACCTTTAGATTCAAATGTATCTGTCAACTTATTAGAGAAGAATTCCAGCTGCTATTTTTGCTTGCTATTCTATGAAAGGAAAAGGAAAAAAAATCAAGAACGTAAAATAATACTTAGCAGCTTATTAAGGCATTATGGAACTTCCATAATGCCAATTTATGATTGCCCAATTAGGTATTTTTCTGAATGCCTGATGTGATCAGATAACTCTAAAACCTAAGACAGGTTATAGAGTTCGGCAGAGAAAAACATTTAAAAAATGTGAATAATAGAACATATCCCAAAGAAAAAGGGGGCCTGAATCTTAGGTGATGACACAACCGAGGAAATAACAAAGGGACCAATTAAACTGGTCATTTATTACTCCCAATTCTTGAAAATATGCCTGTAAAGAGAGCAGTAAAGCCCTTATGCAGCATGATAATCCATCGTTCTAGTTCAATAAGGGTTAACTAATATAGCGGATAAGTGTACAAGGCGTAAAACATTCAAAATATTGATGCCTACAAAAACAAAAGAATTGAAGCTCGAAGAGAAAAAAAAAATAGGAATAAACCCTTATTTAAAGCCACAATTCTCCAAACGAATTGCTAAAAGCCTACCAATTAATAATATGGCAAGGTATCCGACCTTTGATACCGCCCTTGAAATTAGTTTTACCTTCAAGAGTTTCATAAGATCGACTAATAATCTTAGGTTTCCACCATTTACTTCGCATTCTCTTAAGCTTCTATGAAGATACTGACACTATAACCGCTACCATTGAAAACTAACTATAAGAGACCCGTAGATAAAATAAATATGACTGCGCCAATTTCACATTTAACTAATTTTGCACCATTGTTAAGACAACTACTA